TTGGAACAAAAATATGGTTGGCTGAAAAGACTTTCAAATTGCTGAGTTATTTGATATTTTGTGTATAAGCTAACTTTTTCACAAAGATTTGGATTTCCAAATTATATTGTAATATTATAGAATGTTTTTTCACAAACAGCACTGTAGTAATTTAGACATTGTTGTGTGTGTGTGTGTGTGATTTTATTTTTAACAATACTAGTCCTATTGATATGATGTCTCCAGTGTGGCAGTTTATAGTGATGTCCCACCCAGTCACATTATCTTGACACCAGGTCAACCAGTCCTAATGCTAACCTCTTAATGCTAAGTTTGGCAGCTGATAGTACCAGTTTTTTAGTCCTTAGTTTCACTCTTCCAGGGTTTGAATAGGTGACCTCCCACATCCGAAGCGGACACTTTAACCACTTAGGCCACCGGGATAATCTAGATATGGTTGAATACAGCTTTCATCTTATGTGACTGCATGATGCCTAACTGATATCCTCAACAACAAAAAATACAGGATGTGATCCTGCTGGACAAAGAAAATGAAGAAAAAGTTGGTAGATAAGTTTATTGAAATGACAGTTTGAAAAAATAGTACTGTGAACAGCAGATCCTCAGCCTGCCTCCATCTTGGTTTATTATTCTCCTGTGTAGAAACTAGTACTGGCTTTGTAGATTACTGACCAGAATAAAGTTGTTTTTTTTTCTGAAAGAAACCCATATTTCTTCAGACCATAATGTCTTTGACCTTTGACTTTTGACCACCAAATCAATAGACCTCTTCCATATCTCAAGTGTGAACCCTCTACAAATTTGGTAACAATATGATGTCCAGAACTAATGTTATTAAGCAAAACAGTTTTCTTTCCTTCAGCTGATGACCTTGACCTTTAACCTTTTGATCCCCAAATCAATAAACTTTCTCCTTAATCCTAGTGCAAGCCATTCAGAAAGTTTTGTCCTGGCCTGCCACACAGAACAAAATGAAACTGGAAACCACTTCTTTCAATTGACCCACAGTTACCTTGACCTTTAACCTTTTGACTCCAAAATCAACAGACTTCTTCCTTGATATTGGTATGCCATGTAAAATTAATGTTATTGTGTGAAAACCATTTTCTTTCAATATTTTTACTACTTACTCTCAATTTATGTATGGAACATGGCCAAGTAACCTCAAGTTTAAACTACATTTTCTTCCAAGGTAACATAAATAATCTTTAAAGTGCAAAATTCCAAATATCAAATGGTACCTATATACAGCTTGTTTTATATATGTACCAAGTTTGGCTGAAATTCCTTCAATGGTTTTACACCTGTATCATGTATCACATGTATAAGTAAAAAGCAAAGAATATATATTGAAAAAAAAAAATATGATAGCAATAATATATGTTAGAATTTGTTATTATTTCAGGCAAAAAAATGAGGTATATATATTTCCCAAGTTTTTACACACCCCATCTCATGTTTGCTATTTTAATTATTTAAAGCAGGAGAGGTTATAATTTAAAGCTGATTCATAGGGACTAGCTTATTATTAAATCTTTACATTGGAATGATACAATCCAAGATGCTTTTTTATACATTTATCTAAGCATATATTTTCAAGCTTTTTGATTAACCAAGCATTTTAACCTAGTGCTGCAGGTTCTCAGTGAGCCATCTCTTACACTGATATGTCTCTGCTACTGCTGGAAATGCTATCAGGAAACTTTGTGGTCATTTCAGGGTATTTTTTTTTTCAAATTATGTAAAATAAATTCTTGATCAATGTTACATACTTATGTATAACTTGAGACTTACTGAAAAACAACACTGTTCAGGATCTCTGATCATATAATGTACTGGCAGATCAGGTCTATATTATTTGTTCTACTGATTACTCCAAACAAACTGCATAGACCCAGATCTGCCTGCACATTGTATTATGCAATATCAGATCCGAGTCTATACAGTTAAACCTGTCTTATTTTTTAAGTATATATATAGTAGCTTTTGGAGATCCTTTTTCTTCTTTCTGAAAAGTTTTAAGACACAGAAACTACTGAGTCTCTCTCATCACTTGCTTGTTACAGCTGAGCCATATAGTAGGTGGCTGCTAATCCACAGGATCTCTGCCATTCCAAATTCTATCCTGTTGTAAATCATGCAGTGGTTTTACATTTCATCATGCCTGCAATTAATTCTGCATCATTGATATTTTAAGGACTACAGAGATTAATTTATTTTCATGAAGTAACCCAGAACCTATACTGGGTATAAAAAACAGCACTACTTTTAATGACTTGCACCAGTCATGCCCATGTAAGTTTCTCAATAATACATTTTTCATTTTTATTGATGAGACAAAAATCACATAAAAGTTATGACTTGATATGGTGCCGAAAACTTGGCTGATATGACTAATAAAAACTATTTCATTCTATTGGGCCAATTTTTATAAACAATTTTATTTATGTTTATCAGGTGTCAACAAAATATACAAATAGTTTGGTGTACTTTATGAATATTTCATGTCAGAAGTAACATGCACTTAGTTATAAATTATCAGCAGGTCTTCAGATATCAACCTCTGTAACAGAACAGGCACATGTTCACTAATTATTCATTAGGCAGCCAGCTACAGTTTTTTCTTAAGTACTCTTCTTCAATCATCTGTACATGTTCATCATATCATGGTTATGCCTGTTTGTCAAGCATTGTTAACTCCAGAATTTTGCAAGACATTGCCTATATGTGTCTTGACAGTACCATATCTATTCAATTACCTTGCCTAGATGTGTCTTGATGAGTACCATATCTATTCAATTACATTGCCTAGATGTGTCTTGATGAGTACCATATCTATTCAATTACATTGCTTAGATGTGTCTTGATGAGTACCATATCTATTCAATTACATTGCCTAGATGTGTCTTGATGAGTACCATATCTATTCAATTACCTTGCTTAGATGTGTTTTGATGAGTATGTATCTATTCAATTACATTGCTTAGATGTGTCTTGATGAGTACCATATCTATTCAATTACATTGCTTAGATGTGTCTTGATGAGTACCATATCTATTCAATTACCTTGCCTAGATGTGTCTTGATGAGTACCATATCTATTCAATTACATTGCTTAGATGTGTCTTGATGAGTATGTATCTATTCAATTACATTGCCTATATGTGTCTTGATGAGTATGTATCTATTCAATTACATTGCCTATATATGTCCTGATGAGTACCATATCTATTCAATTACATTGCCTATATGTGTCTTGATGAGTACCATATCTATTCAATTACATTGCCTAGATGTGTCTTGATGAGTAGTACCTATTCAATTATATGGCCTAGATGTGTCTTGATGAGTATCTATTCAATTACATTGGCTATGTGTCTTGATGAGTACCATATCTATTCAATTACATTGCCTATATGTGTCTTGATGAGTACCATATCTATTTAATTACATTGTCTAGATGTGTCTTGATGAGTACCGTATCTATTCAATTATAGGTTGGTCCAACTGCAAACAAAATATATTAAATTAAAAATGTCTGAACTCCCATTTAAACAGAGATGTTAATCTGTACTGGCTGCAGAGTATTTAGCTAGTAATTATCCCAAAAGGATCTCTCTCTTTCCTAAACAAAGAGCTCTGGATCAGATTTAATAATTTCCATTATCAGATTTTTGATACAATATATATTGTGGCTAGATAAATTAAAATGCTTAGACACCTGGGAATCTATATGATTATGGATATTCCTCAAGTGCTTTTTTATTCTCACCTGGAATTCCCATTTAGTCTCACCTATGTATTGTTTGCCACATTTGGTGCAGGTGAGTAAATAGATGACATTACATGTGGTACAATGTCTTAGTTTTGATTTATATTTGATGTTCATAACTGTAGTTATAACATTTTTAGATTCATCCATTTTCTTACAGGAACTGTAATTAACAGACTTACAATCTAATACTTTTGTGTGAGAATGTTTCCACACTCTTGGAGGTAGTCAGCACCTTTTTTAATTTCACAAATTTGTAAAAAAGTTTTCTTGCTTCTTTATAAAGCGGAATTAACTGGGATGATAGTAGCAGACACTTTGCTTCTGGGCATTCTGTAACTGATTCTTCCTTTTCTTTTTGTTTGAAATCTCATTTCTACTGGCAACTGTATGTATAGAAGAGCTTGACAAGGGTACTGATGCACCCTCCTATGGACTCACTGGGTTCTGAATGGTTTGGGGATCTGTTAGACTGGATTCCCACAGAGGGTCACCTTCACCTCCAATAGAATATAAACTTAGGGAAGATAATGACTGATCAAATGTGGAGGCATTTTCTCCCATATTGCTAAGGTTTTCTAGTGACCCCCTGTTCCTGACTGGTTTCATTACTATAATAACTCATCAGAGGGAATAATTTGGATTGATTCAACTAATCATAGGAACATATAAATCGACCTGAATTTCATTCTGCAAACAAAATATACCCTAATCTCATACTGTAAACTGTGCCAGCAGATCTGGGAAATTGTTTCTTAGCAAACTGCATAGACCCTGATCTTCCAGAACACATCATACAAAGGCACATTTGGTTTGTGCAGTTTACATATGGATTTGACTTGTTAATACAGATGGTATATTGAGGATACCTTGTTTCCAATATTTCAGTGTATGGTACAAAAAAGTGGTATCTTTGAAGTTGCATTGCCATGAATTTAAATATATCTTTCTTGTACCACAAGATAAAATATACTCATCTGTTATAACATGGTGATGTGATTATGATTTTTAACGTAGTTTTTAAAAAATTTCAGTCATATTGTTACGATGCCTGCAGTGTGTCAGTGTTTAGTGATGTCTAGCACTGGGGCATCATGCTGCAAACATGTAGCATATGTCCCATCCAGTCATATTATCCTAACACCAAACCAATTAGTCCTAACATTAACCTCTTAATGCTGAGTGTCAAGCGAGGTAGCTGTTAGTACATTTTTGTAAGTCTTTGGTGTGACTTGACCAGGGATCGAACCCACGACCTCCAGCATCTGAGGCAGACACTCTAACCACTAGGCCACTGGAGTGGTTGTTACAACATGGTAGCTTAGGTCCAAAACTGTCACTTATACTATGTACCAAACAGCTTGGATGTGTTGGAAGGGTCCAAAGAGGAGAGTGGTGTAGGGTGAGAGAGAAACATAAATACATAAAATAATTTTACTTTATGTAAATTAAATATGTCTTTTTTTCACTTCATGGTATTTATGCATTTAAGTTTGTCAGTCAAACAACACTGTTTTAAAAAGAGAAAAAAAGACATACCAGTAATACTAAATTGCCCTTGAATTGAAAATTAGATGATGAAACTTGAAATTAAAATGTTAGCCTCCCCACCCCATCCCACCCTAATGTATGTTCATCTCAGTTTCTTTCATACAATTATATACCAGTAGATATGATGAGATTTCATTATCAGTTATCTATAAGATGAGAAGGTTTGATATGACCTAATCCAGGGCTTGGCAACCTATTTTGCATAGTGTGCCACTTTTTTTGGAATGATTACAAAATGAATGAACACATGCTATCAGTAAGAGAGTAACACTGTTAAAATTTAAATTTTTTAGCCGCCTTTTGCATTCCACACAAAACCGCTGAATGCGCCTCCTTGTGGCTTGTGTGCCATAGGTTGCCAATCCCTGACTTTATCTATTTTTTTTTGTAACATTGTGGACAAGGTAGTTTATGGAACATGACTCTGAAGAGAGGCAAATCATGGCAAGTTTAATATCTTCAATGTCTGAAAGGTAATATAGTTTCCATTTATCACTGCTGCGCACAAAATACTGTTTTATCCATCAAAGATAACTTTTATCACACGGCATGATGGAAAAGATTGGATTTTCATATAGAATATATTTTTCACATGTGAATATACAGTAATGAAAATAATATGAAAAATATTTCACAAATAGTTTTCTGTTTCATTCAAGCATGTAATAAAATTTCATCTTTCCAAAAAGAGGTTATACATTTAATGATTTTGGGACATTGGTTAAGTTTTGTGGTTGGGTGTGTTTCTTGGACACTTTTGATGACAATGTTATGAATTTCCGCAAGTAAATATATCTTGGTGAGAACAGTACTACCTCAACAAAGCTATGTCACTATTTCCTACATTTCATACTTCTTTCACTTAGGCTGCATTTAGGTCAACCTCTCAGGCAGGGTGATTGGTTTAAGTGAAATTATATATACAATGTCTTTGTTTCTCATGTGGTACCAACTACCAGTAGCCATATGAATTTCTGGAAAGAGAAGAAGAGTAGCAATAACAAGATGGATGCTATAAATGGTATATGGTAAAAACATTTCACACCAAAGAGAAGAATATGTATAAAAATATATCCTCCCCCCCGTAAGAATGTTATAAAATAATAATATGCACAAGTTGATTTTGTGGTAAAATGACTGTTGCAATTGCATACACTAGAATTATGATATACCTTACACAATTAAAAAAGTATTTGGTTTGTTGCTTCATGGCACAGCAGCACAAGTGGGTTATTTAGTGTTTCAGGCATTTGGAGTAATGTTCCTTGTTCAAGGACTTACCATGGCAGCTGGTCTAGGTTGGTCAAATGGTAACATTCAAACTCACACCCTTCTGGTCACAAGTACCACACAAAAAAATACCACATTAAATATGCTACACTCATTAACATATTAATTTTTATCAAATTCAATGCATATTTGTCAAAAGTGAAATTCAATTTATGCCAATTTAATTTAAGAGATTTCATTTTTATGCCACTTATGAAAAAGAAATAACATTTAATTTGTGCCACTGTACTTGTTTTTATGCCATCGCTGTCACTATATGCTGAGACTCACATACACATCATGACTTCTGTACATGACTTCTGATTTATGCCAATTTCAAGTAATGTCATAAGCTCGGAAATGGATCTATAACATAAAAGCATAACCTGCAAGTCTCTAAAACTTTTAGTTGTTTTGTTTAAAAATACTCTGGAATCTGGTGAAAGATAGTAAAGTGATAATTAGACTGGTACATATTCTACAGTTATAAAATTTATCAAGGTGTGAGAGACTCATTAGCTGATCATCATTCATTCTTGGAAAAAGCAACTGGTAAGCAGGTGATGACAAATGTATGTGCAGGTGAGTGACAATTGAACTGAACTGATCAGCAGTCCATGTAGATCCATTATAAGCCATACTTGACTGACAAATGTTCTTAGATCCCCTGCAAGAATGTTTCTTTATTTAAAGGTCAAATTTACAATTAGGGAAAACTTTTGATGTAAATTTACCTGGGGCTTATTTCATCCCTATCAATGTCTTGTCAACATTTGTTGAATATGTATGAACACACATAAGATTCTACTAGATCTGGTCTATACTGGTAAAATAAATACGTAACATGGGATTTTAGTAATGCTTACCCTTACTTCAAACTTATTTGCTTATTCTCTAAAACTGGAAACCCTTTATCTAAGATAGGTCAAATCTCGGGCATACCATGAGCCTGTTTATCTACTTTCCCCTTGAGGACTGCAGACAATACCTGGACTAACATGTACTCAAGGTAAACATGCCTGACCACTCTAACAGGTTGATTACATGTACTGTCTATATTTCCATAACCTGTGTCATCTAGTCAACACCATCCAAGTGCCTAAGGTTATCTATGTTGAAATATTTTGAAATAGTATAATGTGGGGTTGGGGCAAAGTTGATTTAGGGACACAAAAAAGTTTTATTTTAACAACCTAGAAAACAAGTAAAAGGATATTGGTTTTAGCAGTAATTGCTATGGGCAAACACTTAGTATAACTAACAGTAATTTTTTATTTTGACATTTTTTTAATCCAGCCATGTTCTATATATTATTCTGTAAGGAAAAGGGCAACATTGGCTGTTTAGATTACAGTGATACTTATAGTAATACCAATGAGGGAAAGTGTATTTAACCTACATTAGTAAGTAGTGTTTATAGCCTGGTGTTATTTGGAGTTCTTTATCAGTAAAAGGATGGGATAACTCAATGAATCACTGCCAGTAAATCAAAATATGTACCTGGTTATTAGACAGTAAATTACAATCTTGTGAAATGCTGTTCCCAAAATACTCTCCCATTAAATCATTTTGTTGATTCAGATTAATGCCCCATATCATTTCAAGCTCCAATTCCTTTGGAAAATATATTTGACCATGTCTGAATAAGGCATAGCCATCAAAATAAGTGCTGCACATGCACACACACACACACACACACACACACACACACACACACACACACAAACACACACAAACACACACACACACACACAAACACAAACACACACACACACAAACACACACACACACAAACACACACACACAAACACACACACACGTTTCTGTCAATATCTGACATAAATATCACATGTCGTTGCTAATATGATGTGACTGAAGGAACCATAGTAACATAAAATTTTGTCAAAGAAAACTGAACTCATCCTAGATACTAATGTAACATTTAATGCCAAATTTAGTTTGAATCTATCCATATCAAGTCCTTCAAAAGTTAGTGAGCAAAACATTTTGTGATGACATGATGTAACTGGATGGGACACAGTATGAGGGGAAGACAGGGTACACTCTTTGCCTCAAGTGGCAAAACCCAATAATAATAATAATAATAATAATAATAATAATAATAATAATAATAATAATAATAATAATAATAATTCTGATAAGACCTTATCATTATTCCTACAACTTAGCCAAGATGGATTAAGCTGAAAATTAGGACAGACAAGTAACCAACTAGTAATATGAAATCATTCAAAATTAGACATTTGGATTAGATTAGAGTAAAAAAATATCATTTCACTCTATTCCTATCTCAATGAAGCAAATTACATTTCTCCTCTGTTGAACATGCATAAGAATCTCATCTTTAAAATAGCTGCCTTTAAGCCAATCAGGCAACAGTAAACTTGTAGTAAAGTGCAATGATTTAAAACATACACATTAATTTGAAATGTAAATTTAGTAACAGCTAGTTAATCCCAAGCTTGTTCATGCCAGTAATACCAGTATGTGTGTATCAAAAGCACACAAACAGCGGTCCTTCCCAATAATGTTGTGCAAGGGAGTATGATGTCATGGTGAGGTCACCTTATAGTGGGGTACATTATACAGAAAAATCTAATTAAACTACAATAATAGGATTCATGGTAATAACCATGTTGTATCCGGGACCATGTATTAGGATGGACCAATGTTTTTGGTAGAAGTAGACATATTCAACATGGTGATTTGCAACAGATTGATGGAGTTTTTGTTATCTAAATTTCTATATCGTGTAGCTAGGTAAATCTGTATTTAATGTTAATTTTTAAAAAAGGTGTTGTATGTAGCTCACTGAGCCTTGCAAAGTGGGATGTTACATTCAGGCTGTCAGCGCAATGAAAGAAAGAAACCTATTACATGTCTTGATATTATTGGTGCGTTTTCTAGACTTAAAATAATCAGTGATAGCAAGTTTCTTCCTTATTAGTCAAACATTTAGTTTGGTGGCCATTTGTTGTAAAATTTAGTTTGGTGGCCATTTGTTGTGAAATTTAGTTTGGTGGCCATTTATTGTGAAATTTGTAGCTATTTCAGTAAGTGTAAAGTGCTTAAAATAGTGGGGGGCCCTGAGTGGATGAGTGGTCTAAAGCACTTACCATTATGGATCACTGCCATCTCACCTCTGTGTGGTTCAAGTCTCAGTTCAGCCAGTGTAATGTAAGTATGTGAGAAAGCATGCCAGTAGCTTCTTGTTGGTCAGTGGTTCTTTCCGGGGAGGGGGGTTTGCCCAGGTTCTTCCTCTTTCATTTATAATGGCCACCTTGTATAACTTATCTTATGCTGAAAAATGGCAATAAACCTTACAACAACAACAACAACAACAACAACAACAACAACAACTTAAAATAGAATTAAATAATTTGGAACTAATAATCTTTAAGGCAATTGTTTGCTAGCCATTTCCCACTTAGTATATTTTTGGAAATTCTAATAG